AGCCATGATGAAGATGATTTCTTCTGTTACAGATGTGGAGAAGGAGGACATGTGTCTACTCATTGTACAGCCCCTGAAGACAAGGCCAAAGTAATTCAAAAACTGATTCGTTCCCTAAATAGACAAAAAAGAAACAATGAGTCAAACAAACAGGACAAAACACCATCAAACACCAACTGCTCTGTAAAAAGGAATGCAGTAGACACCCGAGAAGCTACAGGCATCCCAAAGGGACTAGTAGGAGAGGCATCCCTCAGTAAAGTAATCATCGAAGGTCAGCCCACCAGTGCTCTGATGGACAGTGGTTCTAGTGTTACAATAATATTTGAAAGCTGGTACACTGACCATTTGTCTCACTTGCCTCTCCATACTATTTCCAGCTTGGCCCTGTGGGTACTTAGTGAATCTTGTTATCCATACAAGGGCTACATAGCCATGAATGTTGAGTTCCTGGAGCATGGTCCTCACACTGAGCCAAAGACAGTGCTAGCCCTGGTTTGCCCTGACCCTAAGGGTCCAGATCAGGCTCCAGTAATWATGGGAACAAACGCCTGTAATTTCCATCATCAGCCCAAGATTCAAGATGAGGTGGAATGCTGTGGACTGGCTCAGTCATGGCGAGTTTCTGTTAGCACACCAAAGACACTTAAACAGGAACCCCCACAAGGTCAGCTGGATGATAATGTTTGCAACATAAAATGGATGGGTCCTGGTCCTCTTAAGGTTCCCCCTGGTGGTTCAGCCCTGGCTACCTGTAAAGTCATTGCAAAAGYGGGCTGGGAGCAAGCTATGTTGGTGATTGAGCCTCCTGATCAGCCATCTCTCCCAGATGGAATAATGGTACCCTCATGTGTTCTCTTACCATCTGACATGGACATGAACCACTTCTCACTGGTGGTAAAAAAAATGAGTCAGTAAAACCAAAATCCATCCCTAAAGGCACTATGTTGGCTTGTGTTCATAAAGCCACTGTTGTGATGGAGTTGCACAAAGACAAAGAGATGCGTCAAACAATGGATCCTGGATTGTTTGATTTTGGTGACTCCCCCATCCCAATTGCTTGGAAGGAGAGGCTAGCTCGTAAGCTATCAGAGAAAGCTGGAGTGTTCTCCCTTGAGGAATGGGATGTTGGACTGGCARGTGGAGTCGAACATACCATCCGCCTTAGTGACTCACGACCTTTTCGAGAAAGATCAAGACGTCTTGCTCCGGCTGATATCGATGATGTGCGAAGCCATTTGCAAAAACTGCTGGCAGCAGGAATAATCATGGAGTCACGTAGCCCCTATGCTTCGCCCATCGTGGTCGCTAGGAAAAAGAATGGCTCCATCAGGATGTGTATTGATTACCGCACTCTGAATGCACGAACAATCCCAGATCAATACACAGTTCCTCGGATAGACGAAGCCTTGGATTGTATGACAGGGAGCCGTTGGTTTTCTGTATTGGATCTACGAAATGGCTACTACCAGATTGGTATGGKTGAGCAAGACAAGGAGAAAACAGCCTTTATCTGCCCGCTAGGGTTTTACCAGTTTGAGCGTATGCCCCAAGGCATTACGGGAGCCCCYGCTACCTTCCAGCGGTTAATGGAGAAGGCTGTTGGTGACATGAACCTCCTGCAGTGTTTAGTATATCTGGATGACCTAATAGTGTTTGGCCGGACACTGGAGGAACATGAGGAACGTCTCCTCAAAGTATTGGACCGACTACAGGAATATGGTCTGAAGGTTTCTATCAACAAATGTCAGTTTTGTCAACCTCAGGTCAAGTATGTAGGCCATATTGTGTCCGCTTCAGGCATAGCTACTGACCCAGAAAAAATCAAGGCGGTCCTTAACTGGGAGCAGCCCACGGACCTTAAGAGCCTCCAATCATTTTTGGGGTTCTGTGGGTACTACAGGAGMTTTATTGCCAACTACTCATCCATTGTGAGACCCCTAACAGACMTAACCAAAGGCTACCCTCCAGTTAAAAAAGGAAAGAAGGCAGTCACTTCCAACTCAGACTACCTTAAAAAATCTGAACCCTTTGGAGACCGGTGGYCATCAGCCTGTGCTACTGCTTTTAAGAACATCATTCAGTGCCTTACACAAGCACCAGTCCTGGCTTTTGCAGATCCAACTAAGCCCTACATATTGCATGTGGACGCCAGCTTTGATGGACTGGGTGCTGTGCTCAACCAGGAACATCCCCAGGGCTTGCTCCCTGTAGCCTTTGCTAGTCGGAAGCTGAGAAACTCTGAGAGAAATTATCCAGTCCATCAACTCGAGTTTCTCGCACTCAAGTGGGCTGTTGTTGATAAGTTTCATGATTACTTGTACGGGGCCAAGTTTACCGTGAGAACCGACAACAATCCACTGACCTATGTCCTCTCTACAGCCAAACTTAGTGCTACTGGTCATAGGTGGCTGGCTGCACTGTCCACCTATGATTTTGGCATTCAATACCGACCAGGCAGGGAGAATATTGATGCCGACATGCTGTCCCGACATGCAAACTCTGAAGAGGAGGGATGGATACCCCCTTCTGGGGTAAAAGCCCTATGCAAAACTGTGAGTGTCACGGGGTTCTCTGAAAATAGGAGGTGTATGGATCAGTTAGGTGTATCTCCATCTGCTATTCCTGATCTCTATGTGTGCCCCATCTTGTTTGGTGAGAACCCAGTTCAACTGTGGAGTTTGACAGACCTACAAACTGAACAAGATTCAGATGAAGCTATTGGGAGGATMAAAAATGAGATAAAGTCTGGAAATTGGCCCTGTAGCTTCAAGAGCAGTCATCAGGAGGCCATTCTGCTACAGCGAGAAGGGAAAAAGCTGCAGATAAAGAATGAACTGATGTATCGAAGGATTTTGAGGCCAACTGGAAAMGAGGTGTTCCAGTTGGTGCTTCCACCTAAACATCGCCTTCAAGTATTACAGCAGTTGCATGATGATTTTGGGCACCTTGGCATCGAGAAAACAACCGAGTTGGTACGGGATCGATTCTATTGGCCAAAAATGGCACAAGAGATTGAACACTACGTCAAGACCTGTGGGGTGTGCGTGGCTCACAAGACCTTGCCTCGTAAAACAAGTCCACTGCACCAGATCACCAGTCGAGGACCACTAGACTTGGTTTGTATCGACTTTCTGTCTATCGAGCCAGATTCCCGTGGGGTGGCCAATGTTCTCATTATTACTGACCATTTTACTCGGTATGCTCAAGCCATACCAACCAGRAACCAAAGAGCTACTACGGTTGCTAAAGTTTTGCTAGAGAAGTTTTTTGTGCACTATGGCCTGCCATCCCGAATCCACTCTGACCAAGGGCGTGATTTTGAGAGTTCACTGATAAAAGAGCTCCTGGACATGCTGGGGATAAAGAAGTCAAGAACAACACCGCATCACCCCCAAGGTGATCCTCTGGCAGAGCGCTTTAATTGTACTCTTTTGTCTATGTTGAGCACTCTCGATCCTYAGGACAAACAGAAATGGAGTCAGCATGTGGCCTCTATGGTTCATGCTTATAACTGCACTCGTAATGAGGCAACAGGATATTCACCATACTTTCTGATGTTTGGACGAGAGGCTCGCCTGCCTGTGGATGTGTGTTTTGGCTCATCTCAAGAGGGAGAGGAAGTCACAAAACATCACCAGTATGTGGAAAAACTCAGAAAGGAAAGGAAAAAAATTGTATAGGTCCTCTGGACGGGTTCTTCTTTAATGAAACGTTTCGTCTCTCTTCCAAG